TCATGTATGACGATGGTGAAGGCTGGGCTTTGAAATGAGCCAATTATAACATTCATTATTTTGACTGCAATGTGCTGAACATTTGTACCAGCTATAAAGAAAAATGATGTAAGGCAGTGACAAAATCACCTGGAATACATCGCCTAATTTTACCTCAAATACGACGACGTATTGCGTGCTATACAATTTTGTTGGAAATTTATTATCGAATCATAGTTTGAAATGTTTTTAAATAGGACTATTTTTTGTCACAATTCTTGTCTGAATATATAGGTGTCGAAACTTTGATGTTTGATGTTTTTGTACACAGTCAAAGGGCTGGACGCAGCCTGCGTGAACCATAACCACTCACGCAGCCTTCGTGTGAACTGTAACCACTCACGCAGCCTGCGTGAACCATAACCACTCACGCAGCCTTCGTGAACCATAACCACTCACGCAGCCTGCGTGAACCATATAACCACTCACGCAGCCTGCGTGAACCGTAACCACTCACGCAGCCTTCGTGTGAACTGTAACCACTCACGCAGCCTGCGTGAACCATATAACCACTCACGCAGCCTTCGTGAACCGTAACCACTCACGCAGCCTGCGTGAACCATATAACCACTCACGCAGCCTGCTCACGCATATGATGATGATAAATCTTAGGGATCATGTGATGAGACATGAGATGATGATAAAGCTTAGGGATCATTTGGTGAGAAATGAGATGAGGATAAATCTTAGGGATCATTTGGTGAGAAATGAGATGATGATAAATCTTAAAGATCATTTGGTGAGAAATGAGATGATGATAAATCTTATGAATCATTTTGTGAGAAATGAGATGATGATAAAATTAGTGATCATTTGGAGAAAAATGAGGTGATGATAAATCTTAGGGATGATTTATTGAGACATGAGATGATGATAAATCTTAAGGTGGAGTGAGTGGGAGTTAGAACTTGGCGCGTCGTTCACGTTTATATTTGTCAAAACCACATCAAGCAATCAAATAAGCAGGTGAAACTTTCTTCGGGTGAAATCAAATCCAAAATTATGAAATGATTTATTTTTATCCGATATTATGTTTTAATCAATAAATTGATTATATAGTATTGTAGACGTTGGCCTATTACAGCAAAGGTTTTTGAGCTCGTTATGAAAAAAAAACTTAATTAAACGAAGGGTTTTCTTCACGGCAAGTATAAAATGTCACTGATTCTTAATTAAATCTTAAGATTTTCCTGGGTTAGCCTTCCCTGAAATAGCCATTAATTATCCGCCATGAAATTTGGAAACTGTGAGTTCCATTTTGCAGCCATATTGTTGCTTTATAGAATCGAATTGTTTTGAAGTGTTAATTCAGTAAATTATTAACATGTTGAGTGCGGTACGACCCACTGGTAGGTAGCAAGGCTTCTTTTTCCAGACAAAATTCTGCGATTTAGTTTTTTTTATTGAGTTGGCCGGTATAAATTTATTATTGTGATACCATCTTAATTTATTACATTTTAAGCATTACGAAAAAAGGAAAATCCATTTTTTGCACTTGAACCTACAAAATTAGGAGTAAATATTGAATTATAGGCATTTTTTTGTCCGCGGACTTCACCGTTTTTAGGCCGTCTGGCAACCCAAATGAGTATCACCGCACCCAGAGTGTTAAGTAATGATAGGCTCTGATTTGGTAATTTAATCTATTACAACAATCAATGAAATAACCATTTGCTGGCCATTTCATTGATTTTTGGAGCCTCCTTATATTTTAAAGGAAATGCCTCTCCTAATTTATCACTTTAGCATTACCAAAAATCTATTACTGAATACCAGCACTCAAATTAACACTTCTTAATCCATTAAATTTAATTAAATCTAGGCTTTAGAAAATTATGTTTGCGAATCAATCAGTACCTCTAATTTTGTCTCACATATCCCACATGTGCAGGCTAACCTAACCCCGGTGCTAATAAAATATAATAATCTCAACTGAAAACTTGTTTATTTATCATGTAAACTTCCTTCAGGAACACTAAGCATGGGAATATATAACATTTGCACTTGAATACAAAAAAGCAACACGTTAGTGAACATGAAACGTGGGCATGAATAAAATTCATATTGCACAGCCTAGTATGTAGGTAACTTGCAGTCGTCAAATTATTCTCCCTTGCCATACAAAGTACGCGTGAAAAAAAGTAGGACTTTGAGTGGGCTTATATACTTATTTGAGTTGATGCACGTGGTGTCACAAATTTGATATACAATGATAACTCTGTACAGTTATCATTCGTATGACGTGCGAATTTTGTCAGAATGATGGCATAATCCGATAAGAGGGACGTAGAAATTCCTGAAATAAATTTTGAAATTTTAATGCTATCGACAGTATATTTGAGGAAAGCCAAGCAATTGCATGCATAATCCCGAAACCATGCAGCCAGGGACTGGGCGTTGATATTATAATATTTCAGAAACGGGTTTTTCAAGTAGAATTCTTGTTATGCATGTACTTTGCTTTCTGAGCGTTTTGCTTTACAAATGACGGATTTCAGTGTAAGGTGAATTATATAGTGTTCGATATTACGATTTATATTTTGTTGGAAAAAATGAGAATTTTTTCTCCCAAATACTTCCATATAGTATGAAAAATTGAAATAACATGCCCAGTGAAAATAATAGCACAATATTTACTGTGCAACATGTCAGTAACGTGTCAATGCTTCACAAGATGTGGAGTGACCTTATCTCAAGGCACAAACATGCATCTACCGAACGCTTCATTAGAACTTGCATCTCGACCAGTTCCCGAACAAGTTCTACATGAAAAATAGTTTCATTCACTGACACTGTGATAAATATGTTGCTCTTGACGTTGTAGGCTTAGGTTTTGTTAGCTGTTTAGTGTAAACAGACGAAGGGACATTGCAAACAATTGTTATCTCGCCTGGACAGGAGGCGTCACTTGTGCACATATACCTACATAAATCAGTCACGCTTCTGATGTAGTGTCCTGATAATGTGCTTCATCAATATTATTTCCTCGCTAGCAATAATTAACACCATGAGAGTTAACACTCAACACAATGAACTACTAATAGCAAAATTTAATTTATATTATATGATTGTTTTAAAATCTGTAGACTTAGCAAAAATGTTTCAAGTTCAAGTTTATTTCCGCATTAACCATGATGCAGTAGCGTTCGTATCGTGATATTCGATCACCTGTAAATCAATTAATGCAGGTATTTTCATCAGATTTAAATATCAATGCGCGGAGCTCCTTTTACGTTGAGTGCAAATTGCAGTGGCAGCTATAGTGCAGCCTTGTTTACTCGCCAGTCATAAATGCACGGTTCAATCATATGTATACTATAGATAGCGCCAATAATATCACTCGTAACTTGTCACCGAATAAGTATCACCTAAGTGTTCAGATTAGCTGTTATCATGAAAAATGACGTGCCTAGATTTCCACCTATAACATGTCAAATTGAAGAAATAGTGCCGATATTTAAATCTCAACTATACAATTATACTGAATAAATAGCGTCAATAATTTAAACTGCACATTGCATAGTCATACCAATTAAATTTCTCTAATTGTTCAATTGACACTACAATTATAAAAATAGAAATTGTTGATGGGTTCAACTGAAAATTTATACAAAATCAATATCCTCAACATTCTCAATGGTATCGTTACAACTGATAAATATAACTTCTATATTATCAACTATACAAAGTTACATGGAATGAACAACGCCAACGATTTAAAATAAAAAGCAAATGAAAATTTACGCCATAATAATTTCAATTCTTAAATTTTACAGATAAGTGGTGTCGATATTCTTAACAGTAAAATTACGCCTAATAAAGTGAAGGTATAATTTCCCTCATCACTATATTTTTTGAAAGTAATTGTTCACTTTGAAATTTCGCTGGAAATATGTTCATTTGTGCAAGTAACTCGTGCTTCTTGTTATGTGTGCGTTGTATGCAATTAAAAGCGTTGTAATAAGTAATATCTCGGTTCCAAAGTGCTGCCAGTCATATTTTGCATGAGAAGAGAGTTTTTTTTTGGAAAAACTGCAATTCAGAGAGTTTATTATTTCCATTAAGCTTTCTTACTGCTGAACTTTCTGTGTTTTTGATAGAAAAAAATATTAATATTCTCAAATTAATTAAAACAATTGATCATAAGTTATAATCTTGATCATCCAAGAAGGGACTGTGGGGAGTCGTGATATTTTTAATTGAAATGTTCACAAGATTTTCAGACAATTTAGAATATAAAATAATGAAGAAGCAAATACTGGTTATCAGGTCTGGAATTTCTGGAAATGACTCCTCCTCATATACTTAAATTTTCAATAAGTATGGGCCAAAAATTATTCATTATTTCACATTGATTAATACAGGATTATTCATTAATTAAAAAATAATAATTTTAAAACAATACAATTGTTTATTTAATTACTGCATTGCAATGTTTGGCAAAAGTAGAACGCGTCATAATTCCATAACTGTGTAATTAGACAATAATACTGAGTTGATTTTTCGGGTAAATTATATAGTAAAATTTATTTATTTCTAATAAGTAATAAGGGAAAGAGCATATTTTGTTGATACTTTTTTTTTTGTTTATACAATAAACTATCAGACTTGTGTTATGAATTCAAAAACTTATTATCAAGGAAGCAAAACCTGCTTCACAAATCTTCTAAGCCTGTTACTATTGGGCACGAGTCTTTTAATTTCGGCTTCTAGTAGTCAGCGGTCGACATGAATAAAGAGCTTCTCAACCACTTATGAAAAAATATCTTAAAAGACGTATATAAAAACGAAAGAAATTTTGCTGCATTCTAAATTATCGGCTTACGATTCGTCGAAGAATTACTGGAACTCGAGTCACATAAATATTTCTAGTCGTGCACCGCGCTTGATCGTCGGCGTTCGGGAATGGATCGCGGGCCTCACGCAAATCTGATACTCGTCATGCGCACTGTTCAACTTACCTTTATCATCGTAGTCCCTGTCGTACGGTGATCCCAGTCCATGATTCAAAAGACCCCCTACATCACAGGGCCTGTCTGCTCTGATGCTGCCGGCCAGCATCGAGAAGGCGAACGGGTGGTGGGGCTGATGAGCGTCTGAGTGGCCGTATTGAGCCGTACACAGCTTGATAGGGGCATGACGATGGGCTAAGGAATGAGGGCCCAAATGAGGATGTTGTAATAATGGCACTGGTCGAGCTAATTGTGATAACATTTGAAATCCTGCAGCAGCAGCAGCTGCAGCGGCAGCAGCCGCAGCAGGGTTGCTGGGCTGCTGTTGCTGCTGCACGATATGCGGCAGCATTCGCTCCATGAGCAGCATGGCACCGCTTAGCACAATCAACGCTAAACTGAAGTCCACAATTCCAGCGAATTTGTTCGACCCGCCTTGGCGTTTCAGAGTCCGCCCAGTCGCTCGCCATCCAGGCTTCGCACGCCTCCCACATCCCGTGTCGCCGGGGCCACCCCTGGAACCATGGACCGCGTCCCTGACGACTGGAAATGACTCCTCCTTCCTCACTAACAAACCCAAGGGTTTTCCTCGGTCGCATTAACCTCTTGGATAAAGAGAGACGGCCCTCAAGCTGCAGTGGGGCCAATATCACGCCATTGGCTGGCGCGGGACGAGCGGCAGAGCGCCACTCTGGCAGTGGGAGGGTCGCTGGAGCCAGAGTGACGTGATGGTCTTGAGGAGGAGGGAGAGCGCTGCTTCCAGGGTGTCGGCGCTGATGGTGCGACTGGGCACCAATGCGAGATCACAGTCCCTGATTTAACTTTGATTTCCTAGAAAAGAATTGGCTGTAAATTGCCTGTTAAAAGTTAGACTTTCCCTCGACCAAACAGACGAGCTATCCATCTTTTGGGGGGCGGTGGCCGAGAGGAGGAACAGCGACTGCAGCCTCGCACCACATTCCAGCCAATTAAATTTCCTGCTCTGCATTAACTTTTAATTCTCCTGCTGCCGTACCAGGAGTTTTCAACTCATTGACTGGACGTTTGGTTTTTGTGTTGCCGTATTAGAAGTTTTCAGACAACATATTTGGTTTTTGCCTGTTGGAAGATCGGGATTTTTTATTTCACTGACACGAGTGTAGCGTCTTTTATTTTTCGACATGATTCATTTCTATTTCACTTCTAGCCGACCAAGATTTATTCGCTCTATTGCCGGACATTTATAATATCAAAACTACACCTTTATCTATTAACTTATTATTATTATCCAATCCAATATTATATATTGGATTAGTATTTTTTGAATAAAATATTAATTTAAACATTTATTTTGGCTAGCGGTAAATTGTTAAACCTACAACACAATTTAGGAACTGTTTGATTCGATGGAAGTAATTCGATCACGGATACTATAAACGTTTTATTTCATCGAAGTTATTTCTTTGATGCCGAGTATTTTTAATGAAGCCTTCTGATTGCATGAGATATTTTGCTTGAAATGTGTTCTACAGATTATACAAAATGAAACGCGTGAAAACAATCGACTATGCGCAGGCTTTAATCTATGTGACATGAATGTAGGCATCACCGCTTTACAGTGGATGAACTCTCAAGTCATGTTCGTCAAGAAAATGTCGTCTAAAAGTGAAATAAAACAAGATATTGTACTTGTTAAGTTAGTCTCCTGCTGTAAAGATGTCATCTTCAACACAGCTTATTTAAAGTCTACGGCTGCTTTCGGTTGTGCCTCGTGCACCGGAACGCAGTCACGAAGAAGAGACCAAAGCTTGTAAAATGCATGAGTTCTGTCCTACACACAGTCGCTTCATTGGCTTCTGGAGGCACTGGACAAGATTGAGTTGCGGATGTAAAATTTTTGGACAGCCTCAAGCTTTTCTTCATCTTTCCATCGTCACTGTATTTATTGTTTAAATTTTATGAAATATCATGGTGCGCGAATAAACGTTGCTAAATGTGAAGGCATACTCGGTATAAATTCAGGTGTTCTTTGATAATAAAATTTAAATTTAACATGCAAAATTTAAATGCAAATTTGAACCACTACCAATAATTGTGCCGGGCGTCTCTGTACGAGGGCCGTAAATTAGATACGATATTCTACAGGCCACGGGTATTTATAAAATATCCGGGGTGTTTATAAAATAGCGTATTAATTTTACACGAAAATAAATCTTAACTTTTTAAGCCATACAGGAAGGCGAATGATGTGTCAGGACTAGGCATGACTTTAATAGAGAGAGTTGACGGCTGTTATAAGGAACATCGCTTAATTCATCAATTTGTAGTGAAGTGAAATTTATCAATCCACAAATTTAATTGCTTCTTTGGCAGTTTATTTTCAATCGAATGATTAAAATTTTGGAATGTATTGGTTTACTAACATGAAAGTTTAGGTATAATTGCGATGAACCTGCACGTATAATTCTCTGATGAAAATGTATTTCGTTTTATAGTGTTTTTTTGGTCGTGTTTCGGTTGACGTCATATCTCTTACCATCCTCATGCCGGAGCTGATGACGGTCCCAAACCAAGCGCCTCTCGAGGAGATAAAGCAGTCTCATCTAAATTAGCTTAACCTTTCTGCGTGTGAATTGGCCCTTAACTGCCAGTCCCCAACAAACAAGGTTATTTAATGCCTATTTCTTTATAAGGGGACAGCGCGAGGTCACGTGTCGTCCCGGCGTCTTATTTCCTCCATACGTCCCCTGCTCGTCTCGTATGTCGCCTGCCCTCAACTTGCCTTCATTTGCATGGAAGCGTTCGTTCGTTTAAGGATGCGAGATGTAGGGAGAATCGAGGGGAAGTTAAGGGGAAACTAAGCTATGGGAGAGTTGCGCCTTAGCACCTTATTAAGGGGAGGCTAAGCCATGGATCAGAGCCCGGCTAGAGGATCCAACCGTAAAGTTAACTACTCATGGCAGCCGCTGGATATGATCACCCGTTTTAACGAATTTTCGTTGAAAATTAAATAGGGTAAAGAATGAAAAATTAATTCGACCTATTTTAAATGGAGACGTTTTGAAGACAATCTTCTTTATCATACATTTTAAATAGACAAAATAGATTTTTGCCTCAACTCTTCGGTTTACAGATGTAAATGTCGTTGTCAGTGGTCTGAACTGGATATTTTTCCTGGTCTAAATGATCAGTTTTGAATTTTTTTCCACATTTGCTAGAAAAAATTTTGCGTACAAACTGATGGTTTGTGCATGTGTCTTTACCTTGCTTCTGGTTTTGCGAATATTTTCATGCGTCTTCAAGAAGTTCATTGTTAAATTTTTTTTCCGAGTTCATATTTTGTAATAAATAATTAAATATTTCTATATAAGGATTTTTTAATTTAGAAGCATCCCTCTCATTATAGGTTTTTCTATCATTATAATAATTTGGAACAGAAGTCAATATTATTCAAGGTAGATGCCCGCAAAAGCTTATCGTTACTCGATGGCAAAGTGACTGAAACAAACGTTCGTTTTTATAGGCTGCTGTTTTCCCAATAGTTTGACTTGAACGGGCTTGGGCACGAGCTCCTTCAAATTTATTCATTTTTTTAATTGAATGGGGTTCAAACATTAATTCAGTGCACCTTCCGAATTTACTTCTCCTAACATATGCTATGCATTCTGAACGTACATTTCTCCGAATCATTTTTCTCTGAATGGGTTTCGTATGATCTTGATTTTACTCATAATTAAAAGCTCGCATAATTTTTTTAACTTTTGAAATTACTTTTTGTCATTATGATCGTTACTTAATTCTGTAATTTATAAAATAATTTCAAACTTATGAAATAATTTCCAAATATTAACCGGCTTCTATTGTCGATAAATGAAAGTAAATAAGGTTCCTTCTTCATATATAAAGATATTCTTATTGTCCAGATGCAGGGCACTGTCGTATACGCAATGCATTTCAACGTTCGTCGGTCGGTATTTTGCATGACGTCACCTCTACATAAGATTGGCGGAACACTATAGATCAATATTTATTGCTCTTATAGAAACCTGCTTGCTCACCCATCTCATTCAGCTATGTGCCTTAACGCCGCATATTAATTGGGAATGCACCGCGGTGTCCAAAAGAGATTTTAAAGTTATTTATTCCATCACCAAATTAATGTTCCATTTTCGATAATTTTATAGTCATCACCCATTTTGCAACAGAAACCTTATTTGAAAATCACCTAAAGTTATTGTTGCTGTTAATCGATGTTGACATTGATATGTTTTTACTTTACTCATTCTTTGAATGGATATTTAAATTTTGATTTCCTAAATCGAGTAAACGTAATCCTACAAATTGATTATCCATGAAATTATCAACCAATTGACTATTAATTCTGCTTCTAAAGGTGTTTTTCATCTCTACTGTGGTAAACATTAGTTGTTATTAAACGCTGTTTATTAATTGGCAATACAAAAGTTATTGATAAAGTCATTAACAACATTTATTTATTTTAAAATATTAATTCCCGATGCAGTATAGTAGTTGAGTCAGGCATTTCATCACTGGAGTTTGAGATGACGTAGCTGTGAGATGTAGCTTGCTACTTAGCAGCGAGGGTTTGGGAAGGAAGGCGTCCTGCTATCCTGGAACTCGTTTATTGATGCGCCACACTTGCCATGTAGAGCTGGTATCCTGGCTACGTCAGCTCTGCACGTCTTGTTTCTCAACACAAATACGATGTCTTCAACTGACGTCTTCTGCGTTGAAATACAAGAGCGAGCGAGTTGTTTTTGGACGAAATTTATATTTGGTGAGCCATTTCCATTCATTGTCGGTGGTTGGTCTGACTCGAGAGCTCTTCTATAGTCCCTAACTGCTCAGGCAAGTTGTCATTTGGATGCAAGAACGGATGCAAATAGCGAGGGAGGTCCCCTCTCGAGTCCGCTATTACACTCTATTGGTCCTCTCAATACAGGCTGACCACCGCCTAATGCTATCAGGACCAGCACGACAACACTAAAAACAGATTGGTTTCTTTCCGAAAGGGGAGCCGGGCGAACAATTTCAGGTCTCGGATCTTTGACGGTCTATTTACTGCGTTCGTTCTGTCGGGCCAATAAACGACCACGAAGCTTCATAAAGTCGATTGGAATTATCTTGAACTCGAGCACTGACCGAGTTCAAGTCCGTGAGCGAAATTTTTCTTAGTTTAACTTTTTGTAAGACTTGCAAAAAATTGCGACACGTTGTACCAAACATATACAATGAACTCTTCGTGAGAAACCTTTGCATTTGAAATGGAAAACTCTGGTCATTTGATTAATTTATTACTAAAATCAAAACTAAAGTAAAGTAAACTAAAGAAAATTTTAATGTGTAGTTATTGAACCCGGTTAGTTTTCTTACCAGAACAATAGGATAT